CCCCAAGTCTTACTGACGACTTACCTGACGTGTCTGTCGTCGTCAATCAGGAATCAGTTGGCAGCAAAGGCTAACATCAATGTGCACAACTTTCCGTCGTTCAACAAGAAGGCCCTAGACCTTGAGGCGAAGATAGGGGATGGACACAACCCATCGACGAATGGTAGGATAAAGACATTGCCACTCAGTTGGAAGGCGAAGGGGCGCATTATGTTCGTCGACAATGATGGTTCAACCATCGAGTTGGACGACGACCCCGAGTTGGGAGCCCGTTCAGAGGCAGAAAGCGTAGAGGCTTCAAAGGGTGGAGTAGTCGTTGCGGTAACACAACAAAAAAGTAAGGGGACTGGTAAGACGACGAGGAGGCTCCCGGTCCAGGAGTAAAGTTGACCCCAATGTTCCTCCATGGGAGAAAGCGGGTTTATAGAGGACGTGTGGAGAGACCGGTACACCCGGCAAGCTTTGTACTCGTTATGGTCAATATGGCCATAACCAATTCAAGTGTCGAAATAAGAAGGTTACCGAGAAGATCCTGCCTATTACAAGGCAGGCGGTAGGATCCTCCGCTCCCGTTGATAGCAAGGGGGCGCATTATGTTCGTCGACAATGATGGTTCAACCATCGAGTTGGACAACGACCCCCAATTGGGAGCTGGTTCAAAGGCAGGCAGCGTAGAGGCTTCAGAGGGTGGAGTAGTCGTTGTCGTAACACAACAAAAAAGTAAGGGGATTGGTAGACGCCGAGGAGGCTCCCGGTCAAGGAGTCAAGTTGACCCCAATGCTCCTCCATGGGAGAAACCGGGTCTCACAGAGGACGTGTGGAGAGACCGGTACACCGGCAAGCTTTTATTCATTGTGGTCAATATGGCCACAACCAATTCAATTGCCGAAATAAGAAGGTTACCGAGAAGATCCCGCCTATTATGGGGCAGGCGGTAGGATCCTCCGCTCCCGTTGGTAGCAATGTTGCCAGTACTTCAGGCACTGCTCCGGGAAACACGTCGGACCAGTAGGAATAGTAGCTGTTCCTGCTAAGGTCGAGGTGGTGGACGCACCCTCAGCATCTCGAGAGATGTCCCAAGCTATTGACTCCCGCGTCGTCCCGCGAACACATTGAGACCCATCGACCCCCTGTTCGATGAATGTGTTTGAGTCCTTAGAGGAGCTAGAGGAGGAATGGTCTAAGTCAGACCCACTAGCTTCTTGGATGGCACTAGTTAAAGCTCCTAAGGCTGAGATGTTCGTTAGTGAGGTAGTCGTTGGCGGTCGCAAGACCGGGGCCTATTTTGACACTTGCTCGATGAGGAATTTCATTAGTCGCGGGTGCGTTGAGAGGCTGCGCTCACAGGGGTGAGTGCAGCGCCAGAGTCGACCTGTGGAGTCGACATGTGCCAACAAACAGCGCATGGTAGTTAATGACTACCTTCAGGATGTTGAGTGTCTCTTCCCGTACGCGGGAGGGGAATTGAGGCATCGTGTCTCATTCCTGGTAAGCGACGATTTCCCCATGGACATATTGTTAGGTATGTACTACCTCTC